TACTCTTTCCTTATATTCTCCCCCCTTCCACTGGTACCAACCCCCTTCTTTTTCTTTTTTTTTGGCAGTACTGGGGTTTGAACTCAGGGTCTTGTGGTTGGTATGCAGATATTCTAGCATTTGACCCATGCCCCCAGCCCTTTTTTCCTTTTTTATTACTTGTTTTTGCCTATGCTGGTCTTGAACCATGATCCTCCTGATCTCTGTCTCCCAAGTAGCTAGGATTATAGGTATGTACCTCCATGCCTGGCCCAAGTGGGTACTGTATGTGTTTTCTCATTTAATCTTAATCCTGTGAGTAATATTGTGGCATTCCTATGGGACAGGCAAGGAAACTGAGGCAACAAGCATCTTGAAGCATCCTATATAGATAATTCAGCCACTGAGTAGGATATGTAGTTCCAAATCTCCCTGTGCAAGTTGTAACAAGCAGTGCCCTCAGAGCCTGAGAGGAGAGAATGGAACAGTTCTGGGTCCTTCCCTTCTCACACGATTGAGCCATCCTGGGTGGACCTTTATTTCCTTTCTCAGCATCTGTCCAGTATCAGGCCACTGGTTTTGACAGTCTGTCACATACTAAGGTGTGGTGGCTGGGCCTAGGTAGGAGGAAGAAGCCTGGCTTATGAAAGAGCCTTGACTTGTCTCTTTGCTCTGCTTGGGGATGGGGTGGGAAGGTTTAATTCATATTCAGTCTTTCTCTTTCTCTCTGGGGATTGAACCTAGGGTTTCCTAAGCAACAGCTCTACCTCCAGCCACATTGATTCTCCTTAACCCGTTATTGACTGCTATGTGTCAGTGAGCTGGCCTGGGTCCTCAAAGTGTGTGGTCTGGGGGACAATCCCCCATGTTGGGGGTGTGAGGGGACTCTTACCTCCCTCCACTGTTTCCCTAGGTTGGAATGAGAACTTGAGGGTCATAGCTGCAGCATTTGGAATGTGGGCAGACTGGCCCCTCGGGTCCCCTCCTTTTCAGGAAGACTGTGGGACTGGGAATGCCAGCATCTTAACCCCGTCGGGGCTACAGACCTGTAAGCATCACCTGCTTTCTGAGGATTACAGTCAGATGCTGGACCCAAGGAATAAGGGTCTCTTCCTCTTGATCTGGTCCTCTGTGTACTATATTGGACTACCAGCCTTCCCTGGAGCAGCCTTTTGGCCCAAAGCTGCTGCTGCTCTGAGCTGTTGCTTGGGCCAGACAAGGCTGTGAGGTGGAAGTGGACTGTCCCGCAGCACTGTGTTTGTAGAGAGGGCACTCTCTCTACAAATGAGAGAGGGTGCCCCTCTAAGCCCATGAACTCATGTAGCCCTTAGGTTGTACCTCCAAACGATATATTCCAGGTATAGCCCCAGGCTCTTGGAACCTAGGCCATTTTGTGCTCCTCTTTGTAGCCTATCCCTCCATCTCAGCTAACTTTTCTCAGGACTGAAACTTCTCACTTTGCACCCCCTCCCCCTGCCCCCAAACTCAGCTCAAATTCCATGATTGCATGAGGTTACCTTTGGTTACTCCCAGTGGCCTTTGAACCAATGGTGCCCTCTGGTGGTCAGCAGCAGATGGTCTGCATCCCTTCCTCTGCAGGGCATAAGCTCAGTGGCCTTGCTGGCTGAACTTTGAGACAGCCTGCCTGTCCCTCATTCCCACACCCATAGGTTGCATGGTCTCACCCGATGACCTTGGCTTTCTCCTTTCTGTGGATGCAAGTTCCAGGGCCTGTGTCTGCTGACCCAGAGAGGCAAAAAGACTGCAGAATCCAGGGAGGTTCCCTCCAAAAAGAGGATGAAAACCCTAAGGAGAGCTTTCTCCCACAGAGTGATTTGAGTCAGGATGGTCTTGGGCCTGGACCCAGCAACTTAGTAGAGTGATGCTGAGGAGCTTGGAGGCCTCCTATCTTAAACAAGGACTCTAGACTGTTACCAGGCACCTGTCCTTCTAGCAGGTGGGAAGGAAGGCTTTGTTTCTGGCCTTTCAGGGTTCCAGTAGTCTCAAACACTTTCCTTGGGGTATGAGTAGAAGGAATATCTGAGCCTGCCCATTGGGTATTCAGAGCTGAGTAAAAAGTAGCTGTGGCTGAAACCTTGGAACAATCCCCTGGATGAGGCTCTACCTTCAAGTGAACTGCCTTGTGAAGTGTCTTCCTGGCTCTGTTTACTCAAGGCAGGGGAGGAGTGTGCTGAGCTGGCTAGGGGACTTTGGCCCTTAACCATTTTGCAGCCTGTGTGGAAATATTAGGCATCAGCAGACATCAGAATCCAAAGTAGATCTCCAAGTTTACGCCTTGGCTGCGTCCTGTATTCCTGACTCTCTTCCTTGAGAAGTTTGTGGGGGTATCTTGGGAGCCAGGGACACCAAGTCCTGTTCAAATCACCAAGCAAGGACTAAGGGCAGAGAGAAGAGGAAGCCATACCAGAGACCCTTGTGTAGGCGCCTGCTGGGGTTCTTCCCTCTCTCAGGTAGACAGATGTTTGGAGAGAACTGCGAATGGTATGCCTTCTCCTGACATCACACAGGCTGCACTTCGAATGTTACTTTATTACTCTATATTTCTTGTCAAGGTTGCTGTGTCCACATCTTGCCTAGATTCTGCTGAGAAGAGACTGAGGAAGATAAGTCAGTCCTTTGCATCCAACCCTTCTCCTTGGAGGAGGATCTTTTCTGCATTTCACAAAACAATTAAGATCTGATGTTTGCAGCTACTAAGTTAATCTGGTATTTGCTATCCCTTATAAACTTACACAAATACTGTGGGGTAAGAGTTACTGCCACAGTTTTACCACAGTTTACCAAGGAAAGGGGCTCAGAGAAGCTGAGTGATTTGCTGTGCAGCTTAGATAGTAGATGGAGGAGCTGGGACTTGAACTTGGGTCTGGCTCAATTCCAGGACTAGTTCTCTCTCTCTCTCTCTCTTTTTTTCTGATCCAGGACTGCACCCTCCAACCAGTAGTTGAACCAACTTGAATATCTGTGTTGAAAGAGCCTGTTGAAATCATAAACCAGAATCCAACCCATAAACTCAGAAAGCAGACTTAAAATCATGCCACGGGTGCAGGAGTGTAGGGCTTTGATGAACGGGCAGTGGAATCCCTGACTCAAGAGTATTTAGCAGGGATGGCTGGCCATTTGACTTTCATTGAGTGTTTAGAGCCTGAGAGACCTGATTTCAGAGTCTATCATTGTTACTTCAGCCAGTTTTGGCAGTGGGGAGCATGGCTGACTCTGGAACTCACTTTTGCCTTTGGTGCTAGTGTTCTTGTGGGGAGGAAGGCAGATAACACAGGTGAAGCTCCTGGCCCTAGTAGGCATTCAGGTCACCACTCCTGCTAGATTGGGCCCAGAGGAAATAGGGACACCATGTGGAGTCACGACAGCAGGTGTGGCCCTAGAGAGGCCACTGGGATTGGCCCTGGACACTGGTTCCCTTTTCCACTGTTACCTAGACACATACCAACTCCTTCTAGTTCCGGTTTGTGGGAGACAGGAAGCCAGATATCTTCTGAAGGACCTGGAGGAAGCAGCAGAAATTCACCTTCTTCAGAAGTAGATCAGAACCAGAGTCTTGGGCCTTGGAACAGGCTTCCCCTCTGACCATCTGGGTAGGAATCAGGGGTAGGTGTGGCTGCCCTAGGGAGTAGGTCATCAGGGCAGGCAGGGGGAGAAGGCTTGGCCCTACAGTCCTGAGTGAAGGCTCTGCTTCCCTCTTCTCTCCTCTGGGTGGGAGCAGGGGAAGGGCCATAAGGGAGGATCTGATTGGCAGCCTTCAAATCTTATCTCCACCCCTGCCCCGGAATTCAGGAAGTGGAACAGCAGCCTCTTGCAGGCTGGATGTTTGGGACTTGGGGATTCTGAGGAATCATAGAGTCCTGCCTTCACTGTCTCTGTTAACTGGGACCAGTCCCTCCACTTCAAGTTCAAGTCCACCATTCTCAACTGCAAACAGAGGTTCAGAATTACAACCTTTTGGGTTATTAGGCAGATCAGCCAGGACCATGAATGTATATACTTAGCACAGTGTCTGTTGTTAGTAAATGGCAATGAACACAGCCACTGTTTCCTCATTATTATCCTGAGGGCAGGGATCTAGCAGGTCATCAGGGAGCTCAGTGTGAGCAAGTTCAGGAGCAGTGCAGGAGTGGGGGTGTGAGACCTGGGACTGCTCTGTATGAGCTGTGGGGCTGTGAGGGTCCCAGGAGGGGAGGAAGGAGGTTGGAAAGCCAGCTGTAGTTGTATCCTTCTCTGTAGACAGGGAAGACTGGGGCCCCCTATTGGCTGCTGGGGGCTGGGGTAATGGAAGGTTCCCCTTGAGGGTCTGTGCTACTGTTAAAAGCAGAGTAGCTGGGCCCTGGAGCCTCTAGGGCTGGGCTGCTTGCCAGACTTCACAGAAGCAGCTAGCAGAGCAGTCCTGGGCCCTGACTTGCTGAGGGGTGGGGACAACTGTGCCACTTCATTCCAACCCCCACTTCCCCACACCCCTTACCCCATATCCCAGAGCCTCAGGAAGAGCTTGCAGCTTGGGGTTCTGCTTCTACCTGGTCAGGAGTGCAGGTGCTCCTTCGGGGTCCCCTCCTGTCTGTAGTTTGAAAAAGCCTAAGTACCTGGAAGTTCATTCGGGGCCTAGTGCTGCCTGGCCCCTCCCTATGACGTGGGGGCCCCTCCTCTCTGTTCTCTGTGGTGCCCTGTGGAGTCAGAGTTCCAGGCAGGCATTTCTCACTGGTACCAGCCAACGGCACAGCCCTGTGGGGAGGAACATAAAGCCAGGTATCTGACACTCAGAGGTAGGAGAACCCCAAGCACCTTCAGTCTGGGCTTGGAGAGAAGAGGGCAGCTTTGGAAGCCAGCTCTTGGCCAGGCTGGTCTCGGATGGCAGCTTCCTGTCCTGAGGCCAGCCATTTCTCCCCTGGGTGGGGCAGGTGCCTAGTAGTCACTAGCTCTGAGGTGTAGGCACTGTACCTGGAAAGTTCCCAGCAGGCCTAGCTTTCACCTGCTCCCGTGCCTTCTCTTTGCAGACGCCCTGTTGGCAGACTTGGAATCCACCACTTCCCATATCTCCAAACGGCCTGTGTTCTTGTCTGAGGAGCCCCCCTACTCCTACCCAACTGGAAACCACACCTACCAAGAGATTGCAGTGCCACCCCCTGTCCCTCCACCCCCATCCAGTGAGGCCCTCAATGGCACAATCCTCACCCCCTTAGACCAGTGGCAACCTAGTGGCTCCCGATTCCCCCACCAGCAGGTAAGGTGGGGACCAGTGCTGGGAAACCCCCAGAGATTTGGGGGTAAAAAGAGCTTATCTGACAAGGGTTTGGGGAGCTAGTAGAGGAATGGGATTATAGGAATGGATCAGGGGACTTGGCTGTCTCCAACCAAACACTGCCTTTTCCACCCACCATGTGAGGAGGGCAGTGACCAAGTCTTAATCACCCGACCAGACTCTGGAAATTCCCTGTTGAGACTGGGTGTGAGCATTTGCCATCTGGAGGTGACTCGGGCTTCAGTCCCCCATACTTTCTCTCCCTTTGGGGAGTTCTCTGAGTACTCATATTCCCACAGCCTCCATCCCCATCACCCGTGTACAGCTCCAGTGCCAAAACTTCCGGTGCCTCTAACCCTCAGGACGGTGTCAGCAATACGTGCTCCCGAGCAGGCGAGGAAGAGCACGTCTACAGGTATGTCTACCCCCAGGTGTTCTCCCTCCTGCCAGGGTCAGAGAGAGCTTAGATCAGGGATCAGGATTGGCAACTGGACCTTAGAGGGTACTGCCTCCAGGGCCACTGGTTTAACTACAGAAAGCCCTGAGGCTCCTGGCCAGCTCCCATGCCTGTCAACTACCCCTTTTTCCTGTCACTGTCATCTCCATATAACTGATGGTCTGGGCTGTCCCAGCATCTCTATGTCATTGAGGAACTGAAGCAAGACTTCCTTCCTCCCCTTTCCTCACCACATCTCTTTCCTACCCTCTGCTTTCTTGCTGAGGGAGACTTTATATCTGTTCACCTTATTGGACCTTGAGAATTTGCGGACTGCCAAGCCAGTGTAAAGCTGAAGAGTGTTTCTCACTTCTTCCCTTTGCTTTGCTTTCCTTTCCTTTCTCAAAGCTTCCCCAACAAGCAGAAGTCGGCTGAGCCTTCACCCACCATAATGAGCTCCTCCCTGGGCAGCAACCTCTCAGAACTTGACCGTCTGCTGCTGGAACTGAATGCTGTGCAGCATAATCCTCCAGGCTTTCCTGCAGGTAGGATTAGGCCCCAGGTCACCTGCTGGCTTCTGGATCCCTGGAGGGCTCAAGAGCTGAAGAGCTTTTCTCTCTCCTTCTCTCCAAGATGAGGCCAACTCAAGCCCCCCACTACCTGGGGTCCTGAGCCCTCATTATGGCATCCCAGAGAATAACAGCCCCGTGGGGGGCAAAGCTGGCCCTCTGACGAAAGAGAAGCCAAAGCGGAATGGGGGCCGAGGCCTGGAAGATGTACGGCCCAGTGTGGAGAGCCTCTTGGATGAACTGGAGAGCTCTGTGCCCAGCCCTGTGTGAGTATACAGCAGGCTCTCCCCAGGCTGGGGAAGGTCTTGCCCAGCCAGGCCCCATGTTCCAGTGTTTGTCACTTGGCCCTGGTATCACCCATTTCCTTAAGTGTCTCTTATTTGCTAGGCCTTGGGGTACAGTACGTGTAGCAGGGACACCATTCCTGCTGTTAGTTAGCCACTACTAATCAGGAAAGGCAGGCATTGTGCACACAGTGGCTTTGCAGCCACATAATAGGGTTCAAATTATGTTCTGCTAGTTACTATGTGTGAGCCTTCAAGCTTTAGTTTTCCATCTGTAAAATGGATAAGCAAAAGTTGGGGGAGAGGGCTGTATGCCTGTAATTCCAGCATTTGGGAAGCTGAAGTAGGATGATGGCGAATTTGACACCACACTAGTTATAGAGACTGTGTTCCAAAAAACAAAAAAATCAGCTCTCCCTCATATGTGGACATTAGATCAAGGGCAAACACAACAAGGGGATTGGACTATGAGCACATGATAAAAGCGAGAGCACACAAGGGAGGGGTGAGGATAGGTAAGACACCTAAAAAACTAGCTAGCATTTGTTGCCCTTAATGCAGAGAAACTAAAGCAGATACCTTAAAGCAACTGAGGCCAATAGGAAAAGGGGACCAGGAACTAGAGAAAAGGTTAGATCAAAAAGAATTAACCTAGAAGGTAACACCCACGCACAGGAAATCAATGTGAGTCAATGCCCTGTATAGCTATCCTTATCTCAACCAGCAAAACCCCTTGTTCCTTCCTATTATTGCTTATACTCTCTCTACAACAAAATTAGAGATAAGGGCAAAATAGTTTCTGCTGGGTATTGAGGGGGGGGGGAACGGGAGGGGGTGGAGTGGGTGGTAAGGGAGGGGGTGGGGGCAGGGGGAAGAAATGAACCAAGCCTTGTATGCACATATGAATAATAAAATGAAAAAAAAAAAACCAAAAAACAAAAAACAAAAAAATCAAAATTAAAGAAACAAAAAATGGGATAAGTATACATGGAGATAAGACTAATAACTACTTTGATAGAGGTGAGAACAAATAACATATGCATAATACAATGCTATGTTCATGGAAAGTACTTAATAACGTTAGCTCCTGTAGTGTTATATTATTGTAATTATCTTGCTTCTATGTACAGTTACATTGTGGAGGATACATGTGGATGCTTGGGTATATTTAACAGGCAAGCTTTCCTCTGGACTGGGATAGAAGAATCTTTGTGGGAGAGGTGCCGTTTTAGCTGCCCTGTCTTTTCCCTAGTCATCTCACTCAGTGATGGGTCCCCAGGATTATGGGCACTGGTGGTCTTCCCAGCATTGGAGGCATTGGGATCCCAGTGTCTGAGCTGAGATGTTGACTTGATCTCCTGCATGGCCTGGAGCTGGCTTCTGGGCTCCCCACTGACACATGCCTTCCCTGCAGCCCCGCCATCACTGTGAACCAAGGTGAGATGAGCAGCCCACAGCGAGTCACCTCCAGCCAGCAGCAGACACGCATCTCGGCCTCCTCCGCCACCAGGGAGCTGGACGAGCTGATGGCCTCCCTGTCAGACTTTAAGGTGCCCTGTGTCCCCTCTGTCTTCCTTGCTCCCCATCCTTTTCCTCCTTATCTCAGTGTGAGTAGCTGGACCTTGACCCTTCAGTGTTTGAGTACCTTCCCCTGAGTTAGCAACCCTATAATAACCTGGCCTTGCCAGGACAGCAGGATTCAGGGGAGGGAGGCCAAGCAGTCTGTGGGGATTGAGCTGCATGGCAGCCAGTGAAGGCGGAGAAACCAGAGAAGTGCTCAGTTAGACATTCCTTCCTCTGCTACACTCCCAGCCACCCAGGTCAAGGGAACCAAGAGTCTGGGACACAGGGACAAAGGGCCCTGTGTGGACGGTTACTCTCAGTGGGGGAGGGTGTGCTCTGCTGGGCCCTATGGGCCTCAGGATCCCATGCCTGAGAGGCTACTTGCTCTGGAGCTCCATCTCCCACACTAGCTGTCCTCAGCACATCCTCTGCCTCTGGCAGTTGAATCCACAGGCCTCTCTTGCTTGTCTCCTTCCTTTCTTCCCTCTTTCCAGGGTCTGTGAGTTTCCACAAGCCCTGTCTTGGAAACCTAACCTGTCAAGCCACTGGGCCTGCTTGAGGAGCCCTGCCCCACCCCTTCTAGGCCTCTTCAGGCCTGCCAACCTCAATGTTTTATTTAGAGGATGCAGTACCTTGATGGGAATTGATATTGACAGAAGTCTCCAGTAGTTGCTGACTTCAGCTCCACGTGGCTTAGCTGGATACCTTTGGGGCACAACTTAGGGAACATGAGAAGGGAAGGAAGCAGTCCATTTATTCTTGGCCCCAATGGTGCCTCCTGCCTTCCTTTGGCTGGGGCTGTCATGAAGGTGGGAGTGTGGCTGGTGGTGGCGGGTTGAGTCCCGGCTTGTGAGCCCAGCTGCCATGGTTCTGAGTAGTTGGTGAGAGGCAAGTCAGTAGGTTCAGGCACTGGTCTGCCCTGGTCCCTTGAAGGCTGCTCTTGCTTTCCAAGACAGCCATTATCCAGATACCCCATGAGGAGAAGCTGCACTGCTTCTGTCTGTGCCCTTCCCGGGAGCAATGACCTAGGGACCTAGGAAAGCTGGTACTGTCTGAGAGTGAAGAAGCTGAGAGTGGAGCCAGCATAGGAAGCTGAGCGGCTTCCTGTGACTGACTTCTCCTTGGTTTGCACCTGGAGCTGGCTGCTCCCTGGTTAACCATCTCCCTCACCTTAGTCTTCTCCTTTGTACCCACTCCTGGTAACCTCCAAGCATGGCTTTATGACTGCTTTCTGTTTCCTGGGTTTCATGAGATTCAAGGACATGAAGCCAGGACAGCCTTTTGTGGGGTCTGAATCTTCAGAAGACTCCATGCCTCAGTTTTGCAGACACCTGGAGCCAGACAGTGTAGATGGTGGCTCTCTGAACCCTAAGGCCAAGCCCACCCTTGCTGTGAGCCTCCTTCCTTACCTCTTCCCATTTTTCTCTTTCTCCTTTCCCCCGTCCTTTTGTCTTTCTCCTCCAGACCAGCTCCTCTGCTGTGGCTCTGAGCTCCCTGGAGCTGCTACCTAGCTCAGCTCCATCCCTACCCCACACCATGCCTTGTTTGCCTTCTCCTCTCATGCCTTCTATATTCTGGCCATCTCCCACTAAACCCTCCCCTCGAGGCCAAGACCATACCCCAGAGATACTCTGCACTGAGAAAAATACATGGGGCCTTTTACCTCCTGTGGCCCCCAGCTGGCTTGATTTGGCTGGCTTCGGGATGATGTCTGACACCCATAACTCAAAGCTTCCCTCCATGGAGGGTTCTCCAGGGTTACTTGATGCTGACAGCCAATCTCGAGTTAGGAATGACCTCCTGAACACAAGTGAACCCTCTAGGTTTCTCCTATGCCACACTCCACCCCCTGCTAGGAGCCCAGAATCCCAGGAACCTGGAGACTCCCAGGGGCCATTGGCTAACCCTGTGTGTCCAGAGGAGACTGTGGATGCCACTTGGAAATGGTCATGGGCTTTGTCAACATCCAGTCCCGAGACTCCCCATGGGGCCACTTGTAGCTTACAGGAAGTAACTGAGCCAGCTGTTGTAGCAGTGGACCATCAGGCCATCTTCCCAGATACCTGGAGTCTCACAAAGGAACGGCAGCAGAAGGAGAGGGCACAGCCAGAGCCAGGGGGTGCAGAAAGCAGCTGCCCTGCCCCATCTGACAAGGAACAGTTGAGTGCAGAGATGCCTGGGAAGGGAAGCCTGGGGGAAGCAACCCAGGGATCTGAGATCCCAACGATCCCAGAGGGCACCACCGACGCTGCTCCTGGGACCAGGAAGGAACAGCTGGAACATCCACAGACCATGGGCATGGGCAGCACCACGGAGAGGATTTCCACCTCTGGCCAGGCAGGCGCCAGCTGCACAGCCACTAGGCATGGCCCTCGGAGGCTGAGCGTGGGCCACTCCTCGCTAACTGCATGCAGCCTTCACTACAAGCATGTCTGCACGGGCAGAAAGTGCTGAGGGGCCATGCGCCAAGAACAAGCGCTCAGCAGTGGGCCTTGTAGAGCCAGCAGAGCTTCCTGGACTCACTGTTCCTCATAGTGATGACACTCCTTTTGCTTGTTTAAGACTTCTTCCCTTTAGACAAGCTGTCCTCAACATTCTGATGTGTAGAATGGTTAAAAGTGTGGATTTTGGAACCCCATAGACTCACAAACTACACCATCAACACTTGCTACCTTTGTGACCTTGGGCAACACCCCAGACTCAGTTTTCTCATCTTTAAAATGGCCATTTTCCACCAAGATTGTGCAGAGATGATTTAAGTCCTGGAAAGTATATAGGACACAGCCTATGGCTCCTCAGCAAGCAATACCATGGCTGCCACCACTGGTGTTACTTGTTTCTTGCTTGATGAAACTGGTATGCCCTTTCCTGAAACAAAGCAGCAACAAAAACCCTGAAAACACTGCAAGCAAGTTGGTTATAATATAAACAAGGGGGGGAAAAAACCACTTCTCTCAGAAGAGAGAGAAAAAGAAAACCTTATGCCCTGTCAAGAGCAAATAATTCTTGTGATAACCCTATGAGGTAAACCAAAAAAAAAAACAAAACCCATTTTGAGGATGGAGAGACTGAAGCCCCTGGAAGTTAAGTGTCTTGCCCAAGGTCCGAGGCTGAGTTGGAGGTGAATTCCAGGCCAGAGGGCTCTCTTTCAGCTTGTACTCCTGAGCCAGTCTTGCCTGCCCGCTGTCTACCCCCCTCAGCTTGGCTCTTGCCTGGCAATTGTTTTCTGCCCTGTCCTCCCTTGAATTGAGTGGCATTGTATCCTGCCCACATGGGACAGTGACAACTTCCCCCTCCGCCCCCAGATCCGCTCCGTGATCAGGAGGAGTCGGGAGACGGGCCATGCTCACCCCATGTCCCGGGAGCCCTCCCCTCGCCGCCGGCTGGACCCCACCACCCTGAGCAGGACCCCATCCCAGGAGCGGCTCATCGCAGAGCTGCAGGGCCGGCTGGGCATCCAGCTGGAGGCAGAGGAGGCAGCAGGGCCAGGAGGGACTTCCACCCAAGACTGGCTGACTGAGGGCATCATCATCACTGTGCAGCCACGTGGGAGGCGGGCTGGGGGGCAGCTTGTAGAGAAGGTAGCCAGGAATTGCTGGGTGGCCCAGGGCCCAGGAAGCAGGTATCCAAATGCTTCCTTGGCCCCAGCACTGGCCAGAGAGAGATGTGGGGGTGTGGGGTGGGTTCATGTATTCTGTGGCCTTGTAAGGCTGGCCTTGCTCTTTGTGCTAGAGTGAGAAGGCCCACGGGAGCCTGGGTACATTACTTTCCCAACCCCTCTGCTTGCTGAGCTGATGATTTCTTCTATCTTCCTTATCTGTTTCCCTCCTTTCTTCCCAGGTTGTCTTCCCTCCTGACTCTCCCATTCCCCTGAGAAGAACCATCTCTGTTGTGGCTTCTCCTCCTTCTGTTCCTTTGCTCCAGCATCACCCAGATGCTTCGGCCAGCAGCTCTTCTCTACCCAGGCTTCCCACTTCCTCCTCCACGGGGCCTTTGACTTGCACCCTTGGTTCTCCTGGGGTCCAGAGTTCAGGGGAAGAGCCCCATGATGAGGATGGGAGAGGCCCCACCTCTCCTGCTCCTGCACCCCACACCATGAGGTCCGTGGGCTGCCAGACCAATGAGGACCCGCTCTTCCATCCGATGCAGGCAGGCCTCCCAGGGGCCCCAGCACCAGCCCTTCCTGTCCCATTCTGTCTGAGCTGTCTCCTACCTCTGCATGCATGCCTGTGTGCATGAGTGTACACACACACACATAAACACACACTCTGTCCTTCCATCTACAGCCTCAGCACATTAACTATAGTCCTTTAGACCTTGTCCCTAGAGTCTCACTGAACCTGATGTCCAGGCCCACCATTGGGAAATCATTTGGCTTCTCACTTTCCCCTGAGGACCCTTCCTCCTCACTGCCCTTTATACTGGCATGAGAGGAAGCCATACCCAGATTGAAAAACAGAAGCCCATGTTCTCCTTGTCCAGCCACCAGGCCAATATCTGCTGAGACCTCTGTGCTCATCTCCCCTTCCTATGTCCCATGACTTTGGGTGGCTTACCTCCCTCTCCCTCTTCTCTCCCTGGACCTCTTCCAGGTTGTTTTGCTCTAGTTTTTTTTCTCTCTCCTGATTTTAGTATTGCCAATGGAGGAAAAAAATCCTCTTATCTCATCTGAATTCCCTTGTGTGAAATGGCCCAATTACAAGGTCTCTTATTCTTTCTTAGTGTTTTTTTGTTTGTTTGCTTGTTTGTTTTTAATTTCTCCTCCTTTACTTCCCTATCGAAGATGCACGGTCTGGAGCAAAGAACGGATGGAGAGCAGCACTGGGCGGCTGGTTGGCCTCCAAGCGGCAGGCAGAGCAGCCCTGAAGGGCAGGACGAGGGAGGGGTCAGTGCCGGGATGGGGGCTGAGTTCCTGCTTGTCATGTTTCCCTGAGCTTTATCATGCAGCAGGGTGCCATGAGCCCTTCCTTCTGACCTCTGGGAGCCCCCAGTCACTAGAATGGCTGGCCATTGTCAGTCCCACCTTTAGGGCTCTTCAAGGTCCCTGGAAGACAGTGTGCTTTTGGCTTTTTTCAGCCTGTTAGTCCAGAAGGGAGAAGAGGCCCCTGGTCTTGGTGCTGTGAGATTCCTGCCCCATGCTGTGGTAGTCCTGACTGGTCCTTTCTCCCTGTCTCTGCAGTTCATGACCCAGGGGAAGACCGGGAGCAGCTCACCCCCTGGGGGACCCTCGAAGCCCGGGAGCCAGCTGGACAGCATGCTGGGAAGCCTGCAGTCTGACCTGAATAAGCTGGGGGTTGCCACGGTTGCCAAGGGGGTGTGCGGGGCCTGCAAGAAGCCCATCGCTGGGCAGGTGATGAACTGAGCAGGTGGGCATAGTTGCCTCTCTTCTTGTTCTTGCCCTGAGCCATCTTTCTCTTCCTCTTCAGGTCGTGACAGCCATGGGAAAGACGTGGCACCCTGAGCACTTCGTCTGTACCCACTGCCAGGAGGAGATCGGATCCCGGAACTTCTTTGAGCGGGATGGACAGCCCTACTGTGAAAAGGACTATCACAACCTCTTCTCCCCGCGCTGCTACTACTGCAACGGGCCCATCCTGGATGTGAGTGCCTGCTGGGGTGGGGGCAGCTGGGTTCGCCCTGATTTCGGCTCCAGCCCCAATTCATATCATCTTCACTTTAGCCCTGGTTTGGAGGGTGAGGGCTCAGAGACATGTCACAAGCCAAGGCTCACACAGCTAGGAAGTGGTAGAACTGGGAGTCAAGTCTGGGCCCTTCCTATTACATTTTCAACAGCCCCAGCTCCCTTTTGCCTCACATTCTGGATTCCTTCTGCTGAGACCCCCAGAGATTAGGAGCCCTGATTAGATAGACAGGTAAATAAATGCCAACTGTCTCACTCTTCCCCTATGTGATGTCAGCTTCTTTGAGCCTAAGTTTGTTTGTTTCTTTTTTTTTTTTTTCTTTTGGTAGTACTGGTATTTGAACTCAGGGCTTTGCTCATACTAGGCAGGCACTTTACCAGCCACACCTCCAGCCCCGGACTGGTTTTGGACCGTGATCGTCCTGTCTAGGCCTCCCATGTGGCTGGAATTACAGGCACCTCCACTGCCCAGTTTGTTGAGATAGGGTCTTGCTAATTTTTTGCTCTGGCTGGCCTTGAACTGCAACCCTCTTGATCTCAACCTCCCAAGTAGCTGAAATTATAGGTGTGCCCTTATCACATCTGGTCCTAAGTTTCTTAACTTTTAAAATAGGAGTCATGACAGAACTTATGACCTTGATTGCATGTGAGGATTAAAGGAAATAGTATGTGTCTAGTATATCACATCCTTCAATGAACTTTTTTTTTTTTTTGGGTGGGACTGGGTTTTGAACTTAGGGCTCCACACTTGCAAAGCAGGCACTTCACTTGGGCCACACCTCCAGTCCTCCTTCAATAAATCTTAATGCTTAGTGGTATCTGTATCATAATTAGGAGAGACCATGTTGAGCATTTTGCTCTTTCCTTGAGTGTGAAATGGGGTAAAGTAAGAAGGACATTTTTGGCCACAAATCTTGGCTGTGACAATCTCTCTGGCACAGTAGCAGCTCAGCTTTGATCCCTCTCTTTCACAGAAAGTGGTGACAGCCCTTGACCGGACGTGGCATCCTGAGCACTTTTTCTGTGCCCAGTGTGGAGCTTTCTTTGGTCCTGAAGGTATAGTAGGCCTGGTAGATGAACCACTGCCTCCTGGAGGGCCAGGAGACTCTGCTGATGTTGGAGTCAGGGTGGCTCCACCCCTAGAGGCCCTAAATCTGCCCCAAATCCCCACTCCTCAGGGTTTCATGAGAAGGATGGCAAGGCCTACTGCCGGAAGGATTATTTCGACATGTTTGCACCCAAGTGTGGCGGCTGCGCCCGGGCCATCTTGGAGAACTACATCTCGGCCCTCAACACCCTCTGGCATCCTGAGTGCTTTGTGTGCCGGGTAAGGAGCCCCCACTGTACTACCTGGTTGGGAACAGGAAGTGAAAGGGAAGGGCCTTCCCTGTTATTATTTTTCTATTTGGCAATACTGGGGTTTGAACTCAGGGCCTCACTCTTGCTAGCCATGCATTCTACCACTTGAGCCACTCCGCCCGCCCTTTAGGACTTCCCTTGTTGTGTCTTTCTCATTTGGGGTTCTAATGGGGTTGCGTAGGCAGGGGGTGCATCTCCTCACATCCAGTCAGTCCTGGGCCAGGGCTGGAACAAACCAGGAACAAGGGAGACACGTACCCTGTGTCTACTTCTACCATCATCTCAGATCCTCTTATACCTAAAGTGTATGGGTGGAGAAAGTAGCTAGAGGCAGGGTCTGCCAGTCCTGTGTGGAGGCCTAGCACTGGTCATATTATCTGGGAGAAGAGCATGTAAGAATTAAATGAGATCATGCGAATATTAAACAGACTCGACAGAAATGGACAGTGTTTCTAGATTGCATTGTGGGGGTCTGGGGGCCCACAGATGTTACTAAGGACCCAGTAGATGCTCTCTGACAAGTCAGTTTTGGAAATACTCTTGTGCAGACCTTCTCAGATCCTTTCATACCTACATGTGCACAGGGAATCTCCAAATGCAAATCTAGGATACAAAGTTAGAGCTCAGATCCCTTTTTTCAGCTCCATGGTTTCTGACAACACCTTTGCAGCCACCTGCTTAAGTGCCCAGGAGTCAGACCTGTGTTTGAATTCAGGCTGTGCAACTTACATGACCTTGGGCAGGTCTCTTAACTCCTACTCCTTAGTTGCTTTCTCCCAAGAGAGAATTAAACAAACCTTTAGGCTGAATGTAGTGGTACATGTCAGTAATCCTATCTACTTGGTAGGCAGAAATAGGAGGGTCACAGCTCAAGGCCAGCCCAGGCAAAAGTTAGTGAGGCTCTATCTCAAAAGCAAGCTCAGCTACTCAGGAGGTGGAGGTAGGAGGACTGCAGCAAGGCAGGACAGGCAAAAACATGAGATTGTCTGAAAAACAAACTAAAATCAAAGGACTGGGAGTTCAGCTCAAGTGGTAGAGTGCTTGCCTAGTAAGGATGAGGCCCTGAGTTTAGTTGCTATACCATCAAACCAACACACACACACGCACGCACGCACACACGCACGCACGCACGCACGCACACACACACACACACACCCCAATCCCCCACAAGCACTGAGCCTAGTACTCAGCACACAGGAATCAACCAAGTGGGAGGTTATGAGGCTGATGTCCCTGTGCATCTCCCTGGGTGCTACTCCGGCTGGAAGGGCCAGCCCCTAAGCCCCTTCCCTCCAGCTGCCCATCTTCTCTCTGGCAGGAATGCTTCACGCCATTTGTCAACGGCAGCTTCTTTGAGCATGACGGGCAGCCGTACTGTGAGGTGCACTACCATGAGAGGCGAGGCTCACTGTGCTCTGGCTGCCAGAAGCCCATCACAGGCCGCTGCATCACCGCCATGGCCAAGAAGTTCCACCCCGAGCACTTCGTCTGTGCCTTCTGCCTCAAGCAGCTCAACAAGGGCACCTTTAAGGAGCAGAATGACAAGCCTTACTGCCAGAACTGCTTCATCAAGCTCTTCTGCTAGGCACCCCTTCTCCAGCTGCCCCTCCCCCAGCCAGTGTCCCCAACTGCTACTGACCTACAGCCAGCAGCTGCCCCTCCCCCAGCCAGTGTCCCCAACTGCTACTGTGACCTACAGACCTCACCCAGGGGTATGGGGTAAACCTGAGGGAAACTGGAACCTCGTCCTCAGCCTGGTGCAGGATGGGAAGAGGGCCGTGGGGGGTCCTGCCTGCTTCTCCTCACCCCACCAGAGCCTCAGGGCTTCCTGTCCCCTTCCTGCAGCTCTCCTGGGCTGCTCACTCTTTATCTTCCCCAGAGGCAGAGGCTGGGGCCTGCCCCACACCACATGCATCCCTAAGAACTGGCCTGGCCTGGCCAGCACCCCACACTGGAGCCATCTCGCACTCATATTTCAGCAGTGGAACTGGGGCGGGAAGACAGGCAGAGTCAGCTTGGGGCCCTTTTTATTCTTATTTTTCCCTGACTTCATTATCTTGAGAGTACTGGGGGACACCTGGCCCCCTTGTGACAATGCCAGCATAAACTCATCTATCCAAAGGCGGAGGATCCCAAGGGTTCTCAGAAAGTTCCTTGGGCTCCCGCCTTCAGTCTCCTTAGGGCCTGGGCAACTGCCTTCCTTCCCCCTGACTGTCCCTTTTATACCTGCTCTGGTTCTACTGAGAAAGGCCTCTCCCCAGCAATAATGTTTTATAGCCACTTCCTCCATCTCCAGGGGACGGCGTGAGGTGGGGAATGTCACCTGTGCCTGGACACTGTACCGACTTTGATAGATTTCTACACTGAGGTTTCAATTCGTATTGCTCAAGTTGCTTTTACTTCTCTATACAAGATGATTTTGAAGAGATTTTAAAGATGTTCCCTTTTGTATTCTCTTCGTCCACTGCTGCTGGTCCTGTCGCTGACCGTGGCTTTGGTATGGACTTTGCTTTGTACTGAGGGCTTGGGGTGGGGAAGCAATTTGTATTTTATTTTTTCTTAGCACAAGCAGGTGAACTGGGAGTACCTCTGTGACTCCCCTTCTGTAACTTCACAGCTCCCCAGGACTGTTTTATAAACTGCTGTATTTTGAAACCCCTTCCTTACTGCCCAGGCCTGTAAGCTCTTAATTAAACACCTGGAATTCCGAACCTCATTTGTCCTGTTCCTGAGAGAGGAGAAGGGTGAAATACACTTTGGGGGGCTGCTTCCTGTCTGAGTAAGCCATTAGCCTCTGCTCCCCTATGAGTTTTTTGGCAACAAAGAGAACCCATTGACATTCTTGGCCTCCTCACTACATCTCCAGGGCTCGCTCTTCTGCCTCCTCAGGAAAGTTGGTATCTGATTTTGACCATGAAGACCACAAGGGTCCCTGGTCTTGTTGATTTCACTGGGCACATCATTTCCTCAAATTTCCTGCCCTTCCTGGAGACTGGGTGCAGGTTCTTCCCCTTTCATAGGTGGGATCTGTCCTCAGGAGGTTTGGAGAGAAGGCCTGAGGCAAGAGGGTTAGGGGGCCTGGCTGGATTTAGGGCAGAAGGATAGGATTCTGTTGGAACAACAGGAAGCCCCAGCGTTCTCTTTCCCAAGGATGAAGCAGGAACAGCCAGGCCTGGGGTTCCTGGTCAAATGAAAAGGACTGCCGATGGATCTATAGGGAGGGATCCAGACCAGTTCACTAGCCTCCTAGCTGAGTGTGCTGGGGATTCAGAAGAGGGTTCCTTTGTTGAGGCCAGACTGGGAGCAGCTCAGGTCTAGGGAGGTCAGCCTGGGCCCTCAAAAGGTCTGACATCTCCACTTCCACCCACAGGCCTTATTGCTCTGTTTACAGTGACCTACCCTGGACCCCTCCCCAGAAGGGCCTGGGGTTTCTGGGGTCCATCCTCTGGGTTAATGGTTATTTGATCATTTGATTATGAATTTTATTTTCTTGTATAAACTTCTAACCTGGCTTTTTCCATTTCAATTTCTGTGATTTATGCCAATAAAATTTGCCATTATTTTCACCTGTGCTATGCCATTTCTTGGTGATCTGACAACCTAGTAGGCCCAGCAGAGAAACCAAACCCTCTTCAGGCTCAGAAAGGTCAGAAGGAGGGTAAATCATTGGCCTTCTCTTCCTGGAGGCCCAAAGCCCTGACAATGAGAACCTGGTTTTTGCCGGCGGCTGCAGGTCTTACTGGACTCAGCATGAGTTTTACTTTCTTTTCTTTTTTTTTTTTGTAATACTGGGGTTTGAACTCAGGGCTTTGCATTTGCTAGGCAATCTACCACTTGAGCCACACCTCCAGTCCATTTTGCTCTGGTTATTTTTGGAGATAGAGTTTTGCAAACTGTTTGCCTAAGCTGCCCTCGAACCTTGATCCTCCCTATCTCAGCCTCCCAAGTAGCTAGGATTATAAGTGTGAGCCACCTGTGCTGATGAGCTTTACTCCTAATTGGGCAGTTGATGGAGGAAGGGTTGGGGGAGGGAGTGCTTTTGAGGCCCTGCAGTAGACCCTGCCCTAGGGCTGCCATTTGCATTTGCTGGCTGTGGACCTATGGGTGGCCTTCTACTCACAGATAGGGAAAGAGGCTGGAGAGAAGAAAGAGACATGCTGAGTGACAGCAGAGCCACTGTGAGCCTCGGATTTGCCTTTGTTTGTGTTCCTGTGTGGAGCTAGGCATCAACACATTGGGTGTAACCACTTCCCAGGAATGCCACTGACTTACGGTTGCAGGTCGGTCTCTATCGCCTCCTTCTGGTCATGTCCATATTTGCTTGTATGCTTCCTGTCTGCACTCTTCAGATCTCAGGTTCCCAAAGCTATCTGTAGGGCTTTATTCTTCCTTGAGCTATAGCCTCAGTTTCCCTGCTGTTTGGAACAGTCCTCCAAAAGGAGCCTATTGAATTCTAGTTTAAACCCTGACCACTTCACAGTGAGCTCAGAAGTGAACATGACCTTCAACCCTCACCCCCTAAAATATATGTACATACATATACATATATGTATATATGTAAAATATAGATATAAATGTATTTCTATTTGTAGAAACGGTGTAGCATACTTCATTCTAATTTGCTTTTTCACTCAATTGTGCTTGGTGGCGCATCATGAAGCTCACACCTGTAACCCTAGCTACTTGAGAGGCTGAGATCACGGTTTGAGGCCAGACTGGACAAATAGTTCACAAGACCCCCATCTCCAAAATAACCAGAGCAAAATGGGCTGGAGGTGTGGCTCAAGCACTGCTTTGCAAGTGCAAAGCCTTGAGTTCAAACCCCTCCCCTTCAAAAGAGAAATGTACCATGAGAGTAAGTATATACTTGGAAAAGTACATTTAAAGGGAAACAGACTTGGGTTGGAAGAGACTGTAACATAGTGAGGCCATGGGCTTTGAACTTGCTCCTATATCAGTTCTGAAACCATCATTTACTGACTGAGAAACCTGGGTAAATTATTTAACCTCTCTGTGAGTTTTCTCATGGGTAAAATGAGAATACTAATAGTGTCCTCCTCAGAGGACTGTTGGAAATATTAGTGTCAGGACATGCACAAAGTACTTAGCGCAATGCTGAGTGGGCATAAATGCATTGTCATTGAAGCAGGATCTTAGCAGTAATCAACTTTAGCAGTTCAAACTGATAGCTCAGTTTGAGACACAAAATAAAGGGGCTTGGCTCAGGGCAGTGATAGGGAGTCAGTGGTAGAACCCTTGCCTAGCATGAGCAAGGCTCTAGGTTGGGTCCCAGCACTACCAAAAATATTTTGTAAAACGCGGGCTGGGCCGGGCACTGGTGGCTCACTCATGTAATCCTAGCAACTCAGGAGGCAGAGATCAGGAGGATTGTAGTTTGAGGCCAGCCCAAGTGAAAAGCAAGAACCTATCTCAAAAATAACACACAAAAAAAGGGTTGGTGGAGTGGTTCAAGTAGTAAAATGCCTACCTAGCAAAGGTGAGTTCCTGAGTTTAAACCCAAGTACTGCCAAAAAAAAAAAAAGGAAGATCTGGATATTCATGTTTTTATAAAGCTTCTGGGATGACTTTGATGTGTAGTTAGGTTTAGGAACCATGACGTGAAAAGATGGTTTCATGAGTAAGTGTCCAAAAAGGCAGTATTACAGAATTACTGGCCAGGGTGTGGCTTAAGTTGTGAGAGCCTGCCTAGCAAGTGAATTCAAACCCCAGTACTTCCAAAAAAAATAGAAGATGCCAGGCACTGGTGGCTCACGCCTGTAATCCTAGCTACTCAGGAGGCAGAGATCAGGAGGATCGAGGTTCAAAGCCAGTTCAGGCAACTAGTTCATGAGAGACCCTATCTCAAAAAGAAAAATTCATCACCAAAATGGCCCTGAGTTCAAACCCCAGTAACACACACACACAGAAAGAAAAAAAAAATAACCAAAAAAGAAAAAATTAGATGCAGGACAGGAATATTATAACTCTACTCTTAGATTATCCTTGTTGAAGGAAGTTTGAGAAACAGAACTAGGGCCCAGATACATCTACAGCCAGCTGTTTCTTGGTTACATATGGTCTAGATAAGCTCACTGGAAATTCCTAACTTGATTGGGTATGAAGGGTGGAGCTAGGGAGACACATTCCTTCAGTCTTCAGATCTTTCATTTAAAAAATACTGAGTTGACAGTGAAGGCACACACATTTGTGCTGTAATCCCAGCACTCAGGAGGTGGAGGCAGGGGGATTGAAAGTTCGAGCCCAGACGTAGATAGACCCAGTTCTGAGAAACAGCAAAACAAGGGTTGGTGACATGGCTCAAGTGGTAGAGGACCTGCCTAAGCAAGCACAAGCCCCTGAGTTCAAACCCCAGCACTGTTTCTCCATCCCCCCCATAGAACAAAACAAACAAAAGTGTATTGATATAGTACAATTATTCAGATAAATGTTAAGTGAATGTATATAATAAAAGAAGCCAATATTTATTGACTTTCTCACACTCGATTCTCATATGAACTCTAAAAGGTGTACAATTATTATTCCCATTTTACAGACAAGGAAGAGAAAGCAAGATCAAGAAGGGGGACCCACTTCCTAAGATAACATAGCTAGCAAGTGGCAGAACAAGGTCATCCCGCATTTATTGATTCAACAGGGCATTGATTATATGCCTACTATGTGGTAATAAATAAATTGGTGAATTAGAAGGTGTAAGTCCTCTCAGGGAAGGCAGGCAGAGTAAGGGGGAGTGGTAGAAAGTTTTTTGGTAATTTTAAGTAAGGGACTCAGGATAGGTCTCACTGAGCAGGTAATATTTGCAGCAAGACTTGATAGGGGTGAATGACTCAGGTGGAATATTGGATATTGGGTAGGATCATTCCAGGAAGACAGAAGAGCAATCTAAAAGCTGTAAAACCAGGGCTTGCCCTGGAAAAGTGCAGAGAATGGTCTGGCTAGGAGAACAGTCCTGGAGGACTTTGTAGGCAGTCTCTAAATTTTAGATTTTTACTCTGAGGGAAATGGGGAACTTTTGAGCAGATGAGAACTTAGGTTTACAGGATCCCTCTGTTTTCTCTGAGAAAGAACAAACTGGAGAAGACATGAGCCCATTCTTTTTTTTGCAGTACTGTGGTTGGAACTCAGGGCTTTGAGTTTGCTAGCCATGTGCTCTACCGCTTGAACCACGCCTCTTCCCCATTCTGCTTTTCAGGCATTTGCAATTATTTCTCAGCTCCTTGACATGCTGTGTAGTTTCCTGGCCAGGGGGCCAGGAAACAACACAGAAGTCACGCAAAATGCGGTTCTTAACGCAAAGACAGCTCCAGTCCAGCAGGAGGCAGAAGTTGTGAGAGAGCGTCTTTAATTTAGGGCAAGCGCTATCCTTAATTATCCTACTTAAAGGCGGCTTCCTGTTGGTCTGAGTGATAGTAATTTCATCCAATGGCTTGCCTAAGTTAGCTCGGCTTGGACGGACGGACGCCGGCACCAGCCAATAGAGAATGAGGCTGTCCGTGGCTTCCGATTGGCCTCACCGTTCACATATAAAAGACACGCGCCTTGCTTTGGCCCTCCTTTCGCCGGGCGTCCTCGGGAGAGGTGCGTGCGGTGGAGGGTCTGTGCTGGGGAATGGCGGCAGGAAGCAAGGAGTCTTCGCGAAGCCGGGAGGGGCGGGATGGGGGCATGGTTTGAGGAAGATGGGGCTCGAGCGCGTCCCACCTGGGGCCTCGGAGGCGGCTCGCTTCGTGCAACTGGTGGCGGCGGCCGCTCCCCCCCACCCCCAGGCTCGCGCGTGGTCAGCTTTGTTTAGGCCTCGGATCGGGGAACAGGTGTGGGAGTGACCGGGCCTGAGCTCCCTTTCTCCCTTCAGTGACATCGTCTTTAAACCCTGCGTGGCAATCCCTGACGCACCGCCGTGATGCCCAGGGAAGACAGGGCGACCTGGAAGTCCAACTACTTCCTTAAGATCATTGTAAGTGCGGAGGGGGTTTGTGGAGGTTTATCGTGCTGCTTCCGCCCTGGGTCCTAGCAGGGATGATTACCTCCTAGGCTCTGGTTCTTGGTGCCATTTTGGGTAAATCACCTGTAATCCTGATTTCCTGAGTTTAGGTCCCCTTGAATACACGGGTTCAGGTAGGTCAAGGGGCCTACCTTAGTGCGTTCCTTTTTTCTCCCTTACCTCCGTCTTTGGGAAAGCCGGGGACAAGGAGTGACTCACTGTAAGGAGGCAAGTTGTGGCACATTTAGGACCTGTCAGTCAGGAAACCACATGTCCAACGATTTCTTTGGCCCTTAAGGTGGGTCCTCCTTAATCAGAAGTGCTGGCCATGCTGCTCTTCAGGAATTGGGCTGCGTTACACAGCTTAGGTTTTATTTTAATTTCCCACATTTATCTATTTAGTTTTCTTGATTACTTTTTTGGTTTCTGAAGTGGTCTTGGTCTGTAGCTCAAGATGGCCTAGAACTCACCGGTCTGCATGCCTCCTGAGTGCTGCCCTCTACGCCTGACTACCCCATTTATAGTAAAGGTTTACTGTCATAAAAAAAACTTCAATATGGTGGGGAA